AAGGGGGAAGAAAGAAGCTCGGCAAATTGAGCAACGCCAGGGGCGTTAAAGAACAAAGAGGGCGCAAGATAAAAAAAGAGGGATTTATCTTGCGCGTGTGTATACACAATAGATTTTGAAAGCCCTTTCTGCGTTGAACGCGCTTTGAATATCATATTGCTGGGCGACTTACGTCAATTTTTCGCCAGTTATATAAGTTTTCTAAATATCAGTCTAGTAAAAGGGGAAGTGAAACCGAGAAAATGCGCACCCTTAAGCGTGCAATTTTGCATGTATTCAAAACGACTTTTCATTCGCTTCCTGTGCCCTCCCTTACCCTAAAGCTCGACCTGGAAATGCACGATTTTGAAACATTCCTAAAGGGCCTTCTCTTTTCTCTTTAGCATTTGTGTAATGCAGAGAAGGGTTCACAGCAGGAGTTCAAGTTAACAAAAAAGAATTAAAAAAAATTTTTTAGGACTCCTCAAGCAGTCGTCATTTATTTAATAAATTTTCAGGATACTACGAAAAGCTGTGTGTTTAAGGATTAATAATAAGACCTAAAAGACTTGTGAAACTAGGCAGATTTAGTTAAAAATAAAAATGTATTAAACATAAATTCGAAGGAATGAAGGACTAAAGAGCCGCGCCAGGATGTTAGTGTCTAAGTAATTTTCATTTTAAATTTAATTTATTGTAAAAAAGTATTATTTCTTAAGGATCACATATGAAGTAAGCCTGACGTAAGAAGTAAGGGTAGGAGTAAGGAAATGAGTCACTTCCATTTCTTATTCCTACTTCAGCTCCCACGCTTACTCTCGGCGAATTAGAGCACGAGATCTGGCCAGCGCTACAAATATTTTAAACAATTATCTCTATTTTAGCTTTTACACTACAAGATAAAAATTATGGTTCCCTTACTTCTTACTGCTTATTTCTAGTACAGACGGTCCTGTACACTTATTAAAAGCGGCGCGATGGTACGCGAAAAAATTGATACTCAGAATAAATTGCGAAAGTTGTGTTACTAACTGATTTGAAATGCTCTCACAATCAGTTGCAAAGCCTATATTATAAATAAGTTAAACGTAGCGGTTTACGTGAAAATTATCGAATAAAAAAAATTTGCTCTGCTAGGGAGTGGAAAAGTTACAATTTCCAGTGGAACCCTCTCCCTTAAGCGCGGAGAGATTATCCGACGGCGTTTGTTGAATGAATACGCCGTAAAATCTGTCACACCGTTGTAACGCCGAGTCGCGGAGATTAAACACTCGTCTTTTATTTCAGTGGATTAGCCGGCCGGATCGATCGTCATCGGAAATCTCGCTCATCTTCCCTCCCCCCTCGTTTCATGGTATTTCATGGTTCGTGTAATGTTTTCGTTTTGAGAACCGTATCAAACGACGCGGCTAATAAACGTGGATACGGAGAACGGTACCGCTGCCGCCACCTCACGATTACCTGAAAACTTGTCCGTGCATACACGCCAGTATCGAACCGTGCGAATCCCTTGCTATTACGACAAATCCCGAATACGTGCATTCGGTATAAAGTCCCATTATTGACAACAACCCACAGTTATTCTCGAGCAGGAATGTGCAAGCAATTTTATTGTCCATTTTTCCAACATCGAGCAGGATATCCCGCAAGTAGGACACTGCATTTAAATTAATTACTACGATCGGCTTGTTAAAAACTCAATTCGCTTTATTCGCTCTTAGCTCCGCGGTTCAAGAATTTTAATTAGCCATTATTCAACTGTCTGTGATTCGTGTGATTATTTCGATATCAATCTCAATTCTGAATAATGTAGCATGCAGTATAATTCTTTAATCGCCTACATCTCGCGCTGCAGACTTTTGTGCAACGATCAGTTTTAGCGAGTTCAATTTTCGACGCCATATATACCGAAAAAGCGCATCTTACTTTTCAAATCGTCGTCAAGAAGCATCGTCACTTGACACAGTCTTGCACAATTGACTTTGCATAAATGGAGCTTTAAAGTTTAATGTTTTTCTTTTTACGATTTTATTATCGCGTTTATGATTATGATATTACGAAAGTTTGCAGTGTCAGAGTTTCTTATGGGATCAAGTTCAATGTAGAGGAAAGTCTGCTATTATGAGACAGACTCTTAATCGGAAATAGCGGAGTTTCTGCTAAATTAATAGGTATTATCTGTTGGTTCCACCATAAATTTATTGTCCTTGGAGTGAAATTTGTTTGGTGGAATATTCATCGTTAGATGATGTAATCGTTGCGAGAAAAAGCTTTATGATTGCATTTGGATGTTGAAAACCTACTATCCATATTAGAAGTCTATCTCATAACAGGGGACTTTCTTCTATTACTTAAAAATCTTACACTTAAAAATCCAAATCCAATAACCAAGTTTTTTGGGATTCGAATAATATAAAAAATATTTGATACACTGTACTTGCAGGCTAATCGAATTCCGACTTAGTTTCGAATTCTGAAATGCGTACCTGCAAGATTCGAAATGTACTTACAAGTACTTTCTCTTGTAAAGAATTTAATCTCTTACAAGTAGTATCCAAACCCAAAGAATGAAGTCGCCAATAATATATTATATTAATCATATTTTTATTATATTAAATATTAAAACTGAAACAATAAAAAATTAGATTTACGATTTACATAATTCCACCTCTTTTTTTTCTTTCGATTCGAAGAAACTAAAACTTTTGATCTAGGTTTGAGTTGACTTGGTTGATTAGATTTGCATGTCTGATAAGCGGCAAAATTTGAAAAAAAACTTGGAGGAATTTACCTTGCGGGAACGCGGCGGCTAGACCGTGTTCGAGCGCATGATGCGAATGTGCGTGCGGAGTGAGGGCGAAATGCGACGGCAAGCCAGGATGCGCGCCGGGATGCGGATGCGAGTGAGGATGAGGATGAGTGCCGACCCCCATCGGGTGTCCGTGTGGATGGTATTGATGAGGGTTTCCGGTCGAGGCGCAGGTCGCGCCCTTCAGGTAACCCGCCATATTCAGGCAGCTCGTGATACGAGATACCAGTTCACCCGCCACCGCGGTGTTGTTATTACGTTCCCTTATCGCGTGACTGCCTCCGCCCTGGTCGCCCCGCCACCAGGTGTTCTCCACCCGATCAACAGCGCCGTATAATGGCCGCCTCGCGCTATCCTCCGTCGGTCTTGGCGTGAGTCCTTCCAGCAGTGCGCTGTTGTAGCAAAGCTCTTTTGCCTGTAAAAGAATTAGCGGTTAAAATTAAATTTTTCGTAAAAAATGTAGGTGAACAGTTCTGACAATTATTCTCGACTCTTGGGGAATAAAACTAAAAGTGAAATAGTCCAACGTTTTAAATTTCTGACTGGAAAGTTTTCCAAGTTTCCGTGGATTAAACTCTGAATAGAAAACTTTCCGAAAATTACAAAACTATTCAAAATCTCCAAACTGTAAAGGAGAGCTCAATTTTCAAAATTCTAGTCGTCCATCGAGTAGTCTTTCACTTTTGCATGTCGTATTTTTATCATAAAAAAGAGAATTTCTTTTTAAAATTAATTTAATATCACAAACTTTCTCGACGAGAAAAAATGTTTGAGAACTTTAAATTTTCCCTTTTCCAAATTTTGGAAAGATAGATCTCATTTTACAACGATAATCTATCTTACATATGAAACAGTCAAGATAATTGATATTTGTTGAAATTGTAATTCTGACTCAGATTTTTAAACAATAGATACAGTAAAATTTCGATTATTCCGACACTGTTTAACTAAACGTTCATTTATTCGAAACTCACGATTCACTAAAAGGTGACTAGCATTCTATCTATTTGTCCATTTGCTTATATGCAATGTTGACCTATCTTAATACAGTTCATCTTAAGTACAGTTGTTGATCAATCACACCAATGTTTTCTCCGGCCGATTTTAATTATTATCCGTTAGTTCTCACTAGATGTTTGAATAATTAACCACCATATATGTACAACACTGCACAGCTCAACCGAGTCCGACACGCTGCACTGTGGTTACTGTCCCATTCCTCGCTTGTGACACGTGATTTTTTCGTGTCCTACTGTCTCTATTGTCATTATAGCTACGTCTACTCTGTCCCCACGCCTTTTCTACCTGTCGACACAATGATATACGGTTTTCACACATAACAATGAAAAAAGTTGATCAGTGGTAGGGAGCGAATAGATGACTGGTCAGATCCTTCCTTGCCTGGAATCCAAGTACGAAACGTCGTACGAAAAACAGAGAGAAAAAATAGTCATTTTTGGACCCAACCATATTTTTTATAATTCCTCCAACGTAAGTTATAGTTGACTTAACAATGTTATAGTTCTCATAACCACAATATTGGTCCATGCAACTTATAATATGGTTGTCATAAACCAAAACGAGCTTTTAATTTAGTAATATACAATAATTGTATTGTAAAATATTGTAAAAAAAAACGAAATTGGAAGAATTATAAAAATATGGTTGGGTCCAAAAATGACTATTTTTTTTCTCTCTGTGAAGAATCCAAATCTCAAGTCCTTCGTCGAAAAACGCCCATTAGATTTTTACTTACAACGAATTCGATCGAATGCACTAAAACAGATGCACTAAATGATCGGTACACATGAAGTCCTCAATATACTTAATTTTACTGTTTGCATGTTTTGTCATTTGAGATACTCGCGTTTCACTTTATATTTAGATTGGGTTAACGTATAACGGCTTTAATATGCTTAAGGGTCCATCGGTGCGTCCAACCGAATCCGATATTACTCAAGCAGAGACCGAGCGAGTGCATGTACCATTGTGATAATTGTGAAATCCGAATTGATCGTCTAAGGAGCTCGCCAATGAGAGAAAGAAAAACGTTAATCGTCACATTGGCCGATACACGCCAATATCGCGAATTAGGGAACGAAAATACGGCCGTTGGTTCGCATACGAGCGGATCCATCGTCTGTGGACGCTGAAAGGTACGCGCGACGAAAGGTGCGGAATCGTGATGCCGCGACCACATGCTGCAAACCGGAAGTATCGAACGGGGTGGAGAAAAGCGTGCCGAAAAGTCGGCTTAGCCGGCGTGTAACTTAACTCGGCGCTAAATGCTTAAATAAACTTCGGGACTCCGTGTTTTTATCCGGTCGGGGAAAAAGGGGAAGTGCAACGGGGGGAAAAGGAAGCGAGTTGGCAGACGCGCCACGTAGGTAGGTATGTTTACACGGGCGCATTATGGCGGATAATGTTTGTTATAGGCGTCTATGCCGCGCAGCCGCGAGAGGCGAGACTATCCGACGTTAAAAGGCCAGCTTGGCCGATCCGCTTACGGCGGATGAGGCTTAAATTGAGTGAGAGATAGTGAACTCCCGCGTGCAACGAGTACGACGCGCGAATGGCGCGCGTGCGGCTCCACCCGATGCGGTGCGGATGCTGCGGCTGCTGCTGTCACACATGTCGCTGCGCATCGTGCGCTCATACGCGCGCTCATACTAATCTAAGCGACAGCGCCACGATAATTCCGCGGATACTCGCGTCACGCTGAACAAGAGCGCGTTGCGACGTACGATAAGGAGAAGCCCCGGTCGGGGTCGCATCCCCCGGCACATGGGTGCGCGTCTCACCGCTGGTGTGAGCGAAAATAAAGCCAACGGTATACGATACTATTTTTCCCACTGGATTGTTCACGAGAGTCAATCAGACCTTAGTCTTGAGTCACCCGATAAAGCTCTGCATCCTTATTGGTTCAAGTAAGCGTGACAACTAATTTTGCTGAAAATGGCTCAAATCGGAGTCGAAACGTTCACTCGTCATTTCCACGAATTGTAATCATAATCGAATATACTCTCCACAAAAGTCAATCTGTGCATTACAAATGTGAATCAGTAAATATTCACTGTTTTCAGTAATAATCCACTGATTGACTTTTAGAGAGTAGCTTATTATATGACTCCCGCAACAATAGCCGCGTTGTACTCTCATTGCCCAATTGTCCCATTTTTGTGTTCAACTTGTGTAACTCTTTGTGCCCCCGTGGTTTCCGGTCGGGAAGAGAGAGAGAGAGTTAATGCTGCTGCTTCGACTTATTAAAAGGCTATTTTAATGACGTTATAAGCAAAACCGGTTATGGGTTGAAGGAACGATAATAATTTGCAGAGCAATGTTTAATTGTGTTATTAATTGTGTAGCAGTCGCGTCACGAGAGCACTGCGAATGCGGGACAATGTTAATGCACTCGACTGTACATCATTGGTTACCAAAAGCTTGCGTCACCAAAATCACTTCTATTTGCGGATACAATGAATTGTCTGAGAGACTCGCGTTGATTTTTTATTTAATTACGCGAATACTACGCGCCATTTAGATCCAGTATCCGTTTCCTAACATTCTATACGCGTATAATTTATTCCGTGTTATTCTTCGTTAATCCTACGTCGTGTCTGGGGCGGAGTTATAGTAAGCATAAGTAGTTTCTAATGCTAAGGTGTTGCAGCAAGCAATAAAATCGCCACGAGGGAGATCCAAAGAGTCGCGAGTTCGATTTAAGTTTCCGTTCTAAAATATGTAAACGTATGCGCGAATTCTGACTTGCACGCGGCGTTTATCGCGCGATTGCGCAAGTCCCCGATCGCTCTCGTGACAATCTGCACACGCAATCGGCGCGTATCTGGATACATTCAGTAAATAAACATTAACTTGATCACACACATACGCGCAGACGCGCGATGAAATAAATTTCACGAATCTTTGTCTGCAGATTATTATGATGAGCATTATGCTATCTTTTATTGTTCCAATTAAAATCTCGAGCACCGTATGGTGTGCAATGATATTTGCAATCATCCTTGTGTTTACCTACAACGGTCTAAATGAAAAAGATAATGCCAGTTTAAGACCAGTTCTACTTTCGCCCATTCTTCTTTGTTTTGAATGTGAAAAGGTCATGGAAAATCTTCAAGTCAGAAGAGAACAGACTTAATGGTTTTCGATGGGACGTACACTCTCAAGAATACGTAGAAAGACTAGTCATTCTTTTGAACAACTTTGCAACTTTACGAAAAAGAAGAAGTAGGTCATTACGAAATATTTCAGTCGATATTAGAGGAAGTCCTCTATTGTGAGATAGGATTCCTATAATATGAGATAGCGGGGTTTCTGTTAAATTAATGGGCATCATCAGTTGATTCCACCATGAACTTAGTGCCCTTGAAGCGAAATCTGTTTAGTAGAAAATTCATTGTTAGATTGAGTAATCGTTGCAATCTTTCATCAAGATACTTCGCGACGTTTTCTTTCTCCTTCCAAAAATTAACATACGACCAGATAATTTATATGCATTGCACTCAGAGGGGGGCAAGAGGGGGCACCTGTCCCCCTCCCCTTGGAATCAGTTAGAAATTAAACGCTTGCTCTTTCCTTGATAAAGAGAAGAGACCTGTGTATCAAAAGGTGTATAAATTTGAATTTATACCTATTTAAATTTTGGAAGTTTGAATCATGCCCTCCCCTGACATTTTGAATCGTGCCCCTCACTGGAAAAAATCCTGCGGACGACCTTGATTACGTTTAATCCTTTTCTTCCAATAAAACGCCGTTGCATTAGACATGCTTAAATTTTCATGCTCTCTTTGCGCAACGTCGCGCTTTAGAACACAAGGTTTCGATCGCGCGAAAACCCGAGATCGATAGCCTCCGTGTACGCGATCTTATGATTGGACGGCGGACGATCGATATTCGATTTCGCCGGTTTATCGGTGTTACTTCCGCGAAAATCGCGCCGGCGACGTTAAACACCTCAAAGCTCGCGAAAGCCGATTAGCGTCGTCGCCGTCGGGACGATTTCGGTGAAACGCGAGTACTACCGGAAAAACTTTGACATCCCCTCTGCGGAGGAGTGGGGGAGAGGAAGGGTGGAGGTACGACGAGCACGATTGTCCAGCGATTAAACGACATCGGGGACGATTTCGCATTCTTTAAAAGTGCCCGAGTCGTTACGCTCGTTTATGGGTTAATCCTTTCGCTGCAAAGGACGATCGTGGTACTCTAATATGTCGCCACAGCCGGTGTTTCCAAAATAATCTTCTCACGTTAATTGGATTGAAAAGAGCTGACGGCTGTGATTTCAGCAACCTTCCTCAAGTTAGATGTAACATTAATCTCTGACGGCTCGTAACTTTTTCTCCTTCTTTTTTTTATTTCAACGCAACGGCCTTTAGCGTTGACGAATATGAAATCACT